GAAAGAGGTAATTCTAACTCAAGCTCGGAGGCATCCACTCAAGGAACTTCTTGGTTGTTCTTTGGCACAATCAATAATAAGTGACTTCCGTCAACTTGCTCTTAAGTCTACTAACACACTTCTCTCTAAATGACAATCTAAGTGTTTTGTGAATCTAACTCTGAAATAAAAATTAAAATCTATATCTCTCCCCTTCTTGTGCTTCACTTTGATGTTATTTATAGAGGAGGAGAGTGATGGTGGTTTTGGTAGTGATTGGTTGGCCAAGAGGTACTTAGTGACTTCTCTTGGAAAGAGTCCCCGACCCTTGCATGAAAAGATATGATTTTCTGAATGAAAAGGCAAGCAATTACGTCTCCTGGAAATTCGACTCGCGCTCTGTGCTTGTAAAGGTCGCGCCTCTGCGACTTCTTCCTTCCAAATGTCTTTCTGCCGTTCAGTAAGTTCTTTTCACCGCTCTGCTGACATCTTGAAGTCACGCTCAGCTGACTTTTGCCGGCAAGCCTTGCTGCCTCTCAAAAGTGATTTCTCCTGCGCCCAGTGGCAATTTCGGAAGGCGCGCTCCCGCTGACTTTTGCTCTCCCATTGTTCTGATCTCAATTTGCTTGTCACGCCCGCGTATATGAATGTCTGCGCTCTGCTGACTTGTTTTTCTTGGTTGTGGGTTGCGCGCGCTGCTCTGGTAGCGGCTCGCGACTTTGGGCCGTTTTCCTTTGTTGTGACCTTGCTTCGCGGCGCGAGGGCTGAATTTTAAGTGAATTTCTTCCAGTTCAAAACTTGTTTTGGCCTTTATTTTTTGTATCGAACAAATCTTTGCTCGACTGTGTTCCCTGAAAATTACTTTGAAACAAAAAAAAACAACACAAACAGCGAAAATGTACAAAAACAATCATGCATTTATACAATTTAATCAAAATAACATAACAGAATTTGCCCTCGTTTGCGAGGCCTATCAATTCCCCCCAACTAAGCTTATCTCTTGCTTGTCTCCTTAGCAAGATATTACCTTCTTTTGAACCTTCAGTTGATCATGTTTGTTTTATTTTTCGTTGATTTAGATTTCTTTAATAATCTACCAAAGATAAAGATTTTTGTAATTTTATGAACCAAGTAAGTGTTAAAATGAATGTGACAATGTAAAAATTTTCAATAATACAACAAAAATCTAAAGTATAAGAAATCTATGCCATTTTAAGATATGAGAATAGGCATCCTCCATCCTAAAATGCAAAGAATAGGAAGTACTTTAGAAAAGTAACTGTATTGTTTCTCCTCAAGGCATTTTTAGGTAGTCTTATTTCTATCCTCACTAAAGTGGGGTTTGCCATTTATGCTCTCCATACCACTTTCATTTCTCTTTTTCTTTTCTTTTTTTGTGGTTGCATTTTATGCTCCATAACCACCAATTTTTTTCTTTGCTTCTTATTTTTGTTCAAGGTATGTAAGGTAATGTAAATGATAAGTGGTTGCCAATTTTTAATGCTCCATACCAACTTTACTTTGGAACGTGTTTTTTTCCGTTAATTTCCTTAAGGTTCCTCTCTTTTTTTTTTTATACAACCTTCATCCCCTTATGATTGAAACATACAAGTTTTAAATTCCTTCCTATTCTTTATTCAAGGTAGGAATTCAAGCTTTTCTAAAACAATAAGTATGAATGTCTAGATAATTAACCAAAGATTAAAAATGTGCTATTTGAAGAAGTTAAAAATGTCAATATGTAATATATTAAAAACTTAAGTTTCATATAAGATTCAATCTCTCTATATCAGGGTATATTATTCAAGACCTTCTATTTTCAACAGAGCAGTAAATCATAACATAATCAATCAATGTTAGACTAAAAACATTGAAATCTAAGGCAAAGGAAGTTGACTTTTTTAATTGTCACATTCTTTTTTTAATAGTAATAATTGAAATGAATAAAATGAACGGAGATAGATAAAAGATGACAATTGACCATGAACAGAAATCTTGTATAGTGTCCCCAGCACTTAAGACACAATGCCCCATTGTGGGGGAAAGAAATTGCAAAGATAACACATCACTATGATAAACACAACACAAACTGAAAAATAATAAAAACTAAAAAGGGATAGAAAAACCTTAATGGCCCCGGAAAAAAGACCCGGAGGGTATGGGAGTGAACTCGATGTTTTGATGGTGGAAATAATTTCATCACTTTCCATTCCATCCCGTTCGTTGGTTTTCTGGATTGTATGCAGTTTGTCCCATGTCAAGAATGTAAGGTTTCCTGCGATTGCTGTAAAGCTTCCACTTTACCCAACACTTGCTTCCATCCGGCAACTTCATCTTCTTCTTCTTCCACATGAGAAGATGATGTGACTGGCGCTTTGCCTTTTCGCTGTCTTGGTGTTTGTGCATCAGAGGTTCCTTCATTACGATCGCTATGCCCGACTCTAGTTTCCCAAGGCTTTCAACGATAAAGAACTGTGCTACCAATTTTTACTTCTTCAACCAAACCTGTCTTTTTCAAGAATGTGCCATCCATATACCTAAAAGTGTCTGTAGGTTGGGGCTGATAAGGTGGAATGGGCATTCTGATAAGGTGGAATGGGCATTCGAGCAACATATGCTAAGATAGGTGCCAAACTACCCACTCCTAAAGTAACTTTCCCTTGATGACAAGAGGCGTTATATATTGTATCGAGCACGATTCCGGTAATGTCTACTCGTTTTCCCTGCAAAATACAGTCCAAAACAAACAAGTCTCTTGTTTGGACTTTGGTTTGGACTTTGGATGCTTCCACCCGTCCAAACAAGGCATAACACAAATACTTCTGCAAGTATAAAATACTCTCATCTTTGATCCATTTATTTCCAGCATTTCGTAGAGTAAAAGTTGATTGCCCCGTTAGTATTTCCCAAACGGAAGATGCATTCCATCCTTTCGGTTTAGAAGCACATCCAATTTTGGGGAATCCTAACCATTCGTTCATTTTATCATAATCCACAGTTAATTCCTCTCCATCCACTCTAAATTTGATGGCCATTTCATTATCATCCACCCAATCAATAGTAGTCAATAACTCTAAAACTCTAACTTAATTAGGCATTTTTCAGAAATTTGTAATTGACTAAAATATTCAAAAAATTTAAAATTTTCAAATTATTCTTCCTGCACTTTCTCTAAAATGCCAGTAGTCTGTAAAAAGGGTTGGTCAAGAAGATACATACCTGTGAAAGTGCACTAGTGCACTTGGCAAGGCGTGTGTAGCGTTCCCCTTCCTCCATAGTATATATGGGAAAAGGAGCCTTATATCTGGCGGCCAAATCCTTTCGTGTTGGTGCAGAGGATTAAGATCCTTCCTTGTTCTTCCTGGCTTTTTGCTTGAATGGCATGGTGTGAGTGTGGATGGGGATATTGTTGTTCAAGATATGCAGAAAAGAGGGTTGCTGGGAATTGGTTTTGTAGTGACAGAGTTTGGGGGTTTGTAAAGAAAGGAATTGATTTTCTTATATAGATGAATTTAGGGAAGGATAGGGTTGAGTAGGAAGGATAGGGTTGAGTAGTTTAATGGGTAAGTTGAAAAGGAGAGTTTTTGATTGGATTTGAAAGGTTACTTACATTTTTTTGCAGTTTGAAATGCCTTGGGAAGGAAGAAGATGATTGGAATGTTGATGAGGGCAGTTGAAAAATTTCTGACGCGTTAAGGAAAGTTGCGCCAAAGATTTGTGGAATCGCGCCAGGAATTTTTCTGGAGTCGCGATCGCGTCTGAAAATTCGCGCTCGCGAATGGTTCTTGCCTGGCCTCTGTCCTTTGTTGTGCCCTAATCGCGCTCGCGCTTGGTATTATTGCGATCGCGAGAGTGAATCTCTTTGCTTCTGACTTGTTTTGTAGAGAACTTGCGCTCGCGCAGATATATGTCGCGATCGCGAGTTGGGATCTTAAAGCTTCTGACTTGTTTTGTGGAAAATTCGCGCTCGCGCAGATAGATGTCGCGATCGCGAGTTTTGTAAAAAAGAGTTGCTGTCTTTTTTTTTTTTTTTTTTTTGCAATGTTTGTGCTCGTGCTTTCTTTCATTCACGCTCGCGAGTTTGGCTTCCTGCAAAAATAGACTTCCCTGCACACTTGATTTTTGATGGGTTTCCCCTTTTTTTTCTTAACTTAAAAAAAATTGATAAAAACAAATAACCAAATAATACATTATAATAAATAAACAAAGTATATTAAGTAGTTATTGAAATTATACATACTTATGAAATCGATTTAAAATGTTACCTGTGGTGGATCCTCAATCCTATTACCCAAACAAAGCTTACACCGTTGTCCATTTACCACGAGTGTAGAACCATTAGATAGATTCTTCAATTCTAATGCTCCATGTTCTGCAACTTTGATTACCTCAAATGGTCCACTCCATCTAGACTTCAGTTTTCCAGGAAATAGGCGTAATCTTGAATTGAATAATAACACTTGGTCTCCTTCCTTAAATGATTTGATTCGAATTTGATTATCATGCCATTTCTTAGTTCTTTCCTTGTATAACTTGGCATTTCTTGGCATTTTTCATATGCTTAATAATCTGATCTCATCTATGTTCATTTAACTGAAGTTGCTTTTTGTAGCCAGCCTTGGCTTAGCCTTGCTTAAATCAAAATTTAAAGACTTTATTGCCCAATATGCTTTATATTCCAATTCTAGGGGTAGGTGACATGCCTTACCATAAATTAGACGATATGGAGACATCCCAATTGGTGTCTTAAATGCCGTTCTATAGGCCTAGAGTGCATCATCGAGTTTAAGCGACCAATCCTTTCGTGATGAATTGACAGTTTTTTCCAAAATCCACTTAAGCTCAGTTTTTTCCAAAATCCACTTAAGCTCGCAGTTTGAAATTTCCACTTGACCACTAGTTTGTGGATGATATGGGGTAGATACCTTGTGATGTACTCCATGTTTCCTCAAAAGGCTTTCAAATGATCTATTTAAAAAGTGCGTACCTCCATCACTTATGATTGCTCTTGGAACCCCAAATCAGGTAAATAATGCTTTTAAGAATTTGACCACTGTATTGGCGTTGTTTATGACACAAGCTTGTGCTTCTACCCACTTGGAAACATAGTCAACAGCTACTAAGATATAACTTTTACCCTGTGAAATAGGGAATGGTCCCATGAAGTCGATTCCCCATACTTCGAATATCTCTACCTCGAGTATGTTGGATAAAGGCATTTCATCTTTTTCATCATTTTCTTTCCGACTTATGTTGCCAACCCTTTGACACCTGTCACAATGAGAGACAAATATTCGTGCATCTTGAAATAGAGTAGGCTAATAAAAGCCACTTTCTAAAACTTTTGAAGCAGTTCTATTCGCTCCATGATGCCCTCCATATGGACTTGAGTGACAATGCATAAGTATATCTTGTATTTCTGTTACCCCTACACACCTTCTAATCATACCGTCCATGCATATCTTAAATAAGAATGGTTCACCCCATAAGAAATTTTTAGCATCTGCATAGAACTTCTTCTTTTGTGCATAAGTCATATCTGGAGGTATGATGTTAGAAGCTAGAAATTTGCAATGTCAGCCATACCAAGGTGTGTGAAAACATGTTGTACTAACATTAAATTCTCATTCTGGAAAATTTTCATTTATAATTGTAGTTTTTCTTATTGGTCTTCTTCATTTTCTAGACGTGATAAATGATTCTGCAATAAATTTTTCAGAACCCTTTTTGTCTCCTAATTTCAAATGTCAAAATTCTTAGCAATAATAATACCATCCGATAAGACGTGGTTTTTGGATCTTTTTTAGCAAACATGGTATTTCAATGCAAGAATGATCAGTATGATTATGACTTTTGCTCCTAAACAAGTATGATTTGAATTAATCACATGCATACACCACAGCCAACATTTCTTCTCAGTAGTTGTATAATTCAATTTGAGTACTAGTTTAGAACAATGGCTAGCATAGTATATCACAATGCAAACTTTTTCTAAGTCTTTGGCCTAATACACAAACCAACAGCAACATCGCTAGCCAATCAACACATTATTTCAAATGGTAATTCCCAATTGGTTTTGCATAACAGGCGCACTTAACTAATGCCTTCTTCCAAAGTTTTAAAAGGCTTCTAAAAACATTCTAGAGAAAAATCAAAAGATGCCATCTTTAAACAAGTAAGTTTAAGTTAGAGGTTTAGCAATGTGATAGAAAAATTTTTTTAAAATCTTCTATAAATCCTGCATGCCTAGAAAAGGATCTTAAATAGTCCTTTAACCGTAAGTAAGGAGGAGGTAATTTTTTTCTATAGCTTCTATCTTTGGTCCTATCTGTCTGGATTCCTTCCTTAACTTATTTTTTGCCCTAAAACAATGCCCTCATCACCATAAAGTGGCATTTCTCCGCAATTCAAAACAATTTAGCACTTCACATCTTGATAATACAAGATCTAGATTTTCCAAACAACCTTCAAATGAAAATGCACCATAACACAGAAAAGTCATCCATAAAGACATCCAATAAATTTCTTCTATGTGTCATTAAAAAATCGCGGTCAATGCAACCGTTGAAAATCGTTGCAGGTGCAATTGCATAATCCAAAAGGCCAAATGCGTCTATAAACGCAAATGTAAACCAAATGGACAAGTAAAATGTGGTTTTCTCTTTGGTTTCATTCCGGAAAGATATAAATCTGAAAATACCCGAATATCCATCGAGAAAACAATAGAAAAGCATGACCAGCAATTCTTTCATAACATTTTGATCTATGATGGTATGAAAATGAATCTTTTCTGGTGGGCTGAATTAAAGTTTTCTATAATCAATACATACCCTCCAACCTGTAGTGGTCCAAGTAGGAAATTAGTTTCACCACCATTTTCATTTTTTACTACAGTCATTCCTCCCTTTTTAGGCACACATTGAATTGGACTAACCCATTGGCTATCCGAAATTGGGTATATTATTGCTGCATCTAGTAACTTGATAATTTCTTTCTTCACTACTTCTTTCGTATTAGGATTAAGTCTCCTTTGTCTTTCTACCTTAGGTATATGTCCATCCTCAAGATTGATGTAATGCATGACTGTGAACCCCTCCCCCAAATATCATGGGCATATGAATGCATGTGACTAAGGGCAGAAATGCACGTGAATGTATGAGTCGCCACCTTGTTTAACATTTCTCCTTGATTCTACAGTTCATTTGTCTAGAAAATAATATAGGAAGTGTGTGATCTTTACCTAGAAAGCATATCGCAAATGACTTGGTAACTCTTTAAGGTCCTACTATTGGTGGATACTTCAATTGGTTATGCTCCCTAAGTAACAATTTCAGGTCTTAAATTTATAAAACTCCTCTTGCTTCAATAATTGACATTTTCTTCTCAAATTTTCATTACCTTCCAAGGTAATATTCTTGTAATGCATGCATCAAAACTATGTCAATTCCCTTCAATGCAATTTCCCTCATCCAAAGGATATTTCATAGCTTTATCTATATGAAACTTCAAATGACATCATCACCGTATCCCTAAGGACTAATTTTCCTTCTGAAACATCAATTAAATGGTCTCCTTGTGGTTCATGAAATGGTCTCTAAAAATAAGAGGGCAATTTTTTATCATAAACAAAAGTAAGTATGGAATTGAAATCAGTTGGAAAAATAAATTTGTCAACCTTAACTAAGACATCTTCCAATGATACCATAGGGTCTTTTAAAGTTTTGGTCAGCAAGTTGTAAAAACCAATATTAGTTCTCTTAACTTCATCCTCTAGTCCCCAATTTCTTAAAAGAGAGATAATGGCATCAAAAATTCATCAAATTAATACTTGCTCCTAAATCACAAAGACATCTAGGAAAATCTACTTCACCTAATTTGCATGGTATAGTGAAACTTCCTGGATCTTTGAGTTTTGTAGGTAACTTACTTGAGATTGTGGAACTGCAATCCTCAGTTAGAGTGACTGTCGACACATCTTCCCAACTACGTTTCTTTGAAATTAATTCTTTAAGGAACTTACCATAATTTGGAATTTGTGTGATAGCTTCCATAAGTGACATGTTGATATGCAAATTTTTCAGTTTATCATTTCAGTTTATCAATAAAATTTAAGAACTGCTTATCTTGCTCCTGCTTCTTGAGCCTTTGCGGAAAAGGGGGCCTAGATTGATATGTTTTATCATTGGCCTTCCCCTTATTCTTTCCTGTTTCTTGTCCTCTTGATCCTACACTATTTACTTCAATGCTCGGTTCACAAACCGGCTCCACAGTTGCATTACTCAAAACATTAACATCAGTACCCAAAGGAACTATTTTATCTACTATTTTTCCATTTCGTAAGGCAATGGCACTTACATTCTCCCTAGGATTCTTTTCTGTATTACTAGGAAGATTTCCCACTTCACGTGATGAAATGGCACTTGCAAGCGAAGGAACTATTTTATCTACTATTTTTCCACTTCGTAAGGCAATGGCACTTACATTCTCCCTAGGATTCTTTTCTGTATTACTAGGAAGATTCCCCACTTCACGTGATGAAATGGCACTTGCAAGCTGCCCTACTTGTACCTCCAAATTATGTATGGATGATGAATGATTTTTGAATAACTTGTCAAACTCAAACTTTGATTCTAACCATTTAAAATTATCATCTTGACTACTCATCTTTTGGTTAAATCCCTCCAGAAATTTATCAAGCTTATTAGTCAATTGTCCCAGTCTATCTTGAGATTGACTAACCTGATTGCCCCTCTCTTGATTATCATGATTTCTCCAAAAGGAATTATGATAATTACGATTTTCAGTATTATAAGTATTGGAGTATGGACCACAAACTTGTCCTTGGACATAATTCACTTGTTCCTCCATACCCGAATGCTTATAATTACATTCATTTGACACATGCCCATTTTGACCGCAATTGTCACAAATAAGAGGTGTTGATTTACTTATGTTTAAGTTATCAGGTTTAAGTTATCAATTTTATAAGAACAAAGCAAATCTAATGCTGCATCACTGGTTAGAGAGGATAAAAATTCAGAAGCACTCTTAATGTACTGAAACCTTCTTTGGAATTATGAATGACCTCATTTGCTGCCCAGTAGTAGTAATGACTGAGACTGAGGCCCTTTCCTTATCAGTTGGCCCATGATGCCTATTATTGGTGTGGCCCCATCTCCTTCTAGTAACATTCAATTGCATCCATTAGTTAGTCTTCTTTCATGTAATGATCCTCCTGCCAATGAACATTCTAAGTTGTTCGCTCTTGTACGAAGGTGTACACCCTTCCATCGTTGTAAGAAGGTTCTGAATCATATATTTGTGGGGATAGAAGCCCATGGTGTGGGCAAACTCGTATGGAGACTCTTTTTATAGGCGATCGTTCTAATGCCGTCATATATAGGGACTCAGATTATTGGGATGCTTGGGCTAACATGGCGTTATCTCCTTTGAATAAAGCCTAGCGGTTTTTGCTAGTGGTGAAAATACTTTGATAGAAGGCTTGGGCTAGTTCTCCCAGGTAGTGATAGGTTGGGTTATTGGTGAAAATTCACACCAAGGCTTTTGCCCCTTGTCCTTTCAAACTGTGAAAGGAAATAATGGTACGTATACTGTGATGGCATCTGCTGGTACCGTAGATTCCCAAGTCTCTCTCGAATGTATCACAGATTTAAGAAAACTGGCTATAGAGTTAGGATCCTCATTTGGTAATCCGTAGAACTGAACACTATTTTGGAGCATTTGTAATAAAGCCGGTTTAATCTCAAACTGGTTAGCATTTACTGGTGGATGTATTACTCCCTTTTGTGAACCATTTAAACTTGGAGTCACAAAGTCCATCAACCTCTGTGGCGGATTTCCATCACCCATGATTCTTGAATTTCTTCTTTTCTTCTTCTTTTTTCGTTCTGAAAGAAATTGTTCAATCTCAGGTTGATAATCCTCCAATTCACTGTTTGAAGATCTGGTACTTGGCATATGAGTTATGTAAACTATGTGTTCCTGCAAAATTGAGTTATGTTAAACTATGTGTTCCTGCACCAAATTTTGAAAAATCAACTATAAGTATGTATTTAATTAAAATACCAAACTGCAAATCCACATATAAGAATATTTCGTTAACACCCTGACAGAACACCAGTTCCCCCGACAAACGTCACCAGTAAAAAAATACTTGTTTGGCACATCTGCGTTTGAGTTCCCGCAAGTATAACGGATCGTAACGTAGTAAGTAAAAGATCGATCCCCGAAACGAAGGAACGGGGTTGAGTCCTCTTGCTACTGGCACCTAAATTCTTAATGAATGTTGTTTTAACAGAAATAAATACAGAAAGTGATTGATTTCCTATTTTGCTTAAGGCTAATGTATTTAATTAAATTAACAAAAGAATAAAGTTGTTAAAATAGTCAAATACCTTAGAATAATTAATTATAAAGACAAGTGTGTGGTAAAATACTTAGATAATTGATCAATTACACAGGGATTTCCCTTTTCTATGGCAAATGCTCTTGTAATAACTGCCTATATAAAAATTCTTTAACTGCACATATGGTAAGGTTTGTAATTCAACTTTCAATATAGAATTAATATTATGCTATTAATATTTATTCTACAATATAATAAATAACCCTTATTTTGTTAAATATTAAAACCTTAATTCTTAATTCTTGATTATTTCAATAAGACACCCGCCATTGTTAAGTTTCAGCAGAAAATAAGTGAAAATGTGCATATGTTAAAGATTTCAATTTCAATAGAAAATTAAAATCTCTCTTGATCTGTTACTAAAGAATCTAATTTCCTTCTGATGAAGAATTTAGTAACAAATGCATTTGATTAAGCCACCAAGACAAAAGATAACTTAATAGAATTTTATTGAATAATTAGCCCCTCCAATTTAAAAATTGTTGCTTTGCATAGAAGAGTTAATGAAGAACAACCATACCAATAAGTTTATAAAACAAGAAGAAAAGTCACCGCGTGAACCTAACTCAAGCCTAGGGAAGGAGGGCGTCACACCTCAAGCCGAGGAACTTGTCTTGGTGAGTTCTTTGGCACCTAATCAATAACAAGTGAGGAGAGCATTTCGTCAATCCTTGGCTCTAAGTACTACTAAACACCACTTCCCTAATACAAGTCAAGTGTTTTTGTGATCTAACTCTGAATAGAGAATTAAATCTATATCTCTCCTTCTTATGCTTCACTTTGATTATTATTTATAGAGGAGGAAGAGTGATGGGTGGTTTTGGTAGTGATTGGTTGGCCAAGAGGTGCTTGAGGTGACTTCGTCTTTTGGGAAGAGTCCCGACCCTTGCATGAAAATATATGATTTTCTGATGAAAAGGCAGCAATTACGTCTCCTGGAAATCTCGACTCGTGCTCGTGCTTGTAAAGGTCGCGCTCGCGACTTCTTCTCCAAATGCTTCTGCCTTTCAGAAGTTCTTTTCGCGCTCGCGCATCTTGAAGCCATGCTCGCGACTTTTGCCGGCAAACCTTCTGCCTCTCAAAAGTGATTCTCGCGCCCGTGCAGTTGGAAGGCGCGCTCGCGACCTTTGCTCCCATTGTTTTTGACTCTCAAATTTGCTTGTCGCGCCCGCGTATATGAATGTTGCGCTCGCGACTTGCTTTTTCTGGGTGTGGGTTGCGCGCGCGTCCTCTGTTGTTGTGGGTTGCGCGGTGCGTCCTCTGGTAGCGCGCTCGGCGGACTTTGGGTGTTTTTCCTTTTTGTTGCGGCGACTTGCTTTCGCGGCGCGAGGGCTGATTTAAGGATTCTTTTTCCATTTTTTCCAACTTTGTTTTTTGGCCCTTATTTTTGTATAGAACAATCTTTGCTTCGACCTTGTTGTTACTGAAAATTACTACTTTGAAACAAAAGGCAAACACAAACAAACGTAAAAATGTACAAAAAGACATCCATGCATTTATGCAATTTTATATCAAAATACATAACAAGCACTTCTGCCCGCTGTTGGCGAGGCTATCAAGAACCTGTCCAATTCGAAATCGTCAATCCAGAACCTAAATCGAAAAGATTCCCCTACGTCTTATAAATGATGATTTTTGAAAAAAAAAAAAAAGCT